ATGTCTGTGTGTTTTGCCACTGATAAGTGATTTTTGATTCTTGGTTAACCATGCAGAATGGCCTGGTGGGAGTCCTGTGGCTACAAGTCACTTTGCCTGCAGCTTGTAGACAGTGAAGAAGAGGAGGAAGATGACGAGGATGACAGCAGTGCATGCTCTACAGACTCGACCTCCACGGATATCCGCTACGTTCTGGGAGATGTTACTCATCCCCACACTGCAAGGGGAGATGCTATCATCGTCCACTGTGTTGGTAAGGGCTCCATGTAGCCATTGCGACCGGATGGTTTGTGTGACAAAATTGATAAACAAAAACATAGTCTCTTGGAGCGTGTCTAGGGCTGTGTTTTCCTCTTATCAGAGTGTTAATTTGAGTGCAGATGACTCAGGGCGGTGGGGCAGAGGAGGCCTGTTCACGGCGCTGGAGGTGAGATCAGATGAGCCACGAAAGCAGTACGAGTTGGCAGGGAAAATGAAAGGTAGTGATAACCGCAATGATGAAGAAAATGAGCAGTAATTCAACTAGACGTCTTCGTCTTTGTGGTCTGGTGGAGACTGGAATTCCCTGCGCATCTTTGTTTCAGATTTGGAGCTGGGAAATGTGCTTCTCTTGCCCATCGACGACAAACAGTCGAGACTGGACGGCCGAGATCAGGTAGGTTCTGTTCTCAGTGCAGTCTGTAAAACCCAAAACTGCTTCAAAAAATGTCAATGTATAAATCTAAAATTATAGTCTTAAAGTGTCTTACATTCTTTTTTAAAAACAAGTAAGTTGGCCTTAAGTGTGTCTTAAATTTTGTCGTGGCAGGATTGTTTAATCTCATAAAACCCTCAAACTTGCTGAGCTGCTGAAATCTGCTTGGAAAATGCACACTTGTCTTTTGCAACATGTGCAAAATCTTTGCAATATTAGAGCTCATTATGACAAGATGCACCTAGCTTGGATTCTCGTGTGGTTGCAGACTTGCGAGCGGTGATCAGATAACGAGGTAACATGATTCAATCTCCTTCTCATCACCCCAGTTGGCCCTGATTGTGGCGCAGAAAAGAGACAAAGCCAACAACCTGTCTGGGATCCTCCTCAGTGCTTTGGACGAAGGACTGAAGAAGATTTCTTCTGCAGCTAAGAAAAGCAACGGTACGGGGAAGAACGGAACGATTTTATCAAGTGTACTATGAATTAGTTTCAGTTTCAAGCACTTATGATGCTGAGGTGAGTGACTCTTCAGGAATGCAGGCACCTAATGTTAATGCTGGGTCAGTGGTGTAGAGATGGTGCTGTAGTTGGATTCCCTTTGTTCCAGAGGAGCAAATCTGCATGAGGGTCCGAAGGTTTCGACATGTCAAAACACAAAAACATGCAAAATCACAAAATTGTACCAGTATTTTTAGCCTAGTTTCCCCTGCAACAAGACATTTTTTCATGTTGTAAGTGAAATAATCTGCCAGTGGAACCAGTAATTTTTCATCAATATTAAGGATTTATTGTCTTAAAACAAGCTTTTCTAACTTGCTGAAAAGATACTTGTAAGTTACTTTTGCCTCATTTCAAGTGTACAAAGATATTTGCACTAGAAACTACACCAAAAATACTTTGATTTTGTGTTTTTTCAGTGAAGGTTCTGAGGCATAGTGTCTTTCTGTGCCTCCACAATGAAAGTCAGACATGTACTAGTGCGACATGGTGTCAAATGAGCTCATAGATAATATTTATAACCAGAACATCTCTTGTTCGGTGCTCAGGTTTATGTTGTTCAGACTTCACTTCAGCATGTTTTCTCTTTTTGTGTCTTTAGCCAGTGTTCATCTTCCTCGCATCGGTCACTCCACCAAAGGTTTCAACTGGTACGGGACGGAACGGCTCGTCAGAAAACACCTGGCCTCCAGGGGCATCCCCACATTCATGTATCCTTCTTTGTTCCCCTGCCAGAGCCCGCAAATCTGAACCTGCCATTCAGATTTTCACTTAATCTGAATGGCAGATATTATCACAGCAGAGCTGGCAAGAAAACTGTTTCTCATCAGACACCTGCAACATCAGCCGCTGCTCATCAAGCACCTTTACAGAACACAGGCGGGCCAACGGACGAGCCCGAAACCGAGCGCCCGGGTCCGTCCGCTCTGCCACGCAGCTTCAGCCCTGCGGAGCTGCCCAGCTTCATGAAGGGAGTCCGAGTGTTTTTCTACAACATTCCCGCATCAGAACGGAAGAGGCTGGCCCGCTACCTTATCACATATCCTTTTCCGAACTTCTGGGTGCAAAATTCGACAGTTTCTTTTTGCAAATGCGTGAGATTTGTGATTGAGAGCAGAGTGAGAAAACCCTTAGCTGAAGTCTACGTATGACGGAGACGAGGAGGACGTCATGAGTGATGGGGTCACGCACATTGTTGCAGAGGTGGAGAATCGCATCCAAATAGAGGTCAGCTCAGGTTTACAGCAGAAGAATTCACATGCCTTAAGGTTTTCCACATTTTGTCACATAACAGCCACCAGTTTCAAAGCATTTTTTGGCAATAGGCCATCATAACACAGCATTTAATTGTGAAGTGGAAGGAAAATTATTGATGATTTAGTTCTAACAAATAAAGATCTGATAAGTTTTCCATGCGTTTGAATTCAACCCCCTCCACTTTGATGCCTCTGAATGAAATCCAGTGTAGCTAATCTCCTTCAGAAATCACCTAATTATTAAACAGAGACCACCCATCTGTAGTTTATCCAAAACAGCCTCAAAATAGTACAAAGCTGTTAAAATGCCAGATTGTTAGAACAAGTACAAAGTCATTTCAAAACTTTTTGCATATATAATGTGACATGTATTCTGTTCAATTTTATCAAAACCAAAAACAAATCTGTGTAAAAAGAAATAACTAAAGTAATACTTTGTTAAAGTACCTTTCGGATCAGTTTTAGCATTACATTTTCTTTGTTAGGTGACTGCTACCATCCCATAATAAGTAATATAATGACCAAATTAATGTCCAAAACAAAAGTCTGGATATGCTAAAAGACTTTCAGCTCTGTGGTAGGAGAAGGTGACTCGGTGAAGCGTTGTTTCAATGAACAGCTGACTGCCACATTCTTTCGATATTTGCATATTTACAAAAACATATATTTTCTTCACTTCAGTCTGCACTCCTCTATAAAATCCCACTAAAACACATTGAAGTTTGTTGTTGTAAAGAGGGGATAACTTTGCAAGTCTATGTGTCAGTTCTGCAGTAATTTTAGACGCTTAAACACTGAAATTGTCCTCTGGTCTGTGTGAACCAGGAGCTGCTGGATCTGGTCCGTCAGAACCAGCGGGCTGTTCCTGTGAAGACAGCCTGGCTGGAGTCCTGCTTCTCCAATCAACAACAAGTCAAAACGGCACACTTCCAACATCAGCTCTGAGGACACACAGCGTTATTATTATGTTTTATTAAACCCCATTTTTATATTGTGTCATTTGACAAGCGTATGAGCACCCTGGTTGATGTACACAATGATTTTTAACCTGATGATTTATTCAAATCTCCTGAGGTTCCTAAATTTACTCAATTCCCAGAAGGGAAAATGAAGTTTTCTCACCTGCACTCAACTCAAAGTTCAATATGACTGCTGCTTTTATTAAATGTGGATACATGCAGAAATAAACAGTTTATTTTCACCTCTGGTTCTTTTCTTTGTCTCATAACATCTTCCCTACACATGCAAACATGACAGTGATTTGTGAACATGTTCCTGTAGTGCTTGAATGAATAGGTACACACTATACTGTAGTGCCAAAACGATGGGGTGTGGATGAGTTGGAAAAGTGATGTAAGCAATCTTTAATTTATTTGAGTAGGACAGTGCACATTGATCAGCATTACCACAATTCATTTCAGTGTAAATATGCAGGGATTAACACAATTGCTAAATTTAGCTATTGTGGATGTATTCAGTTTTGTTCAAAAAATTGATCTATGTTTAGATGCGGCTGTATTGTGCCGTCAAAATGTCTGAATTATTCTGTCTGGCTTACTTGAGAGCCTAAACGAAGACATTAGTCAGGTTAAAAAATATCTCCCTTTCGCTGGAGAGCGTGGTTTTTCTCTGATCAAGCAACAGATCGGACATTTGAACTATGAATAGTGTTTGTGTCAGAACAGGAACTTGAGATGCTTATTCATGCTCACATTTCCTCTCGTACCAGGAAGACCATTCTAATGGACTTTCAACGTGTTAAAAGCAGGATTACCAGTTTGTTTTAAGAGTTCATTTTGAAAATCTTGGTAGTGCCTTATTTGAAGGGGTTTATAACACCGTTGTAAACATGAAGGAGTCTTTATGAATGTTTATAACACCGTTGTAAACATGAAGGAGTCTTCATGAATGTTTACAACTGTTGTCATGAAGTGTCATTCGGTAAATAGTGATGCTATGGATGCAAAGCTGCAATACAAGTTTGAGTCAAAGTGTAAAGTTCGCTCAATAATGACCCTTTTGATGCAAAGTCCCATTAAAAGTGCATTAACAGTGTCATCATTTACCAAATGACACTTTATGACAACAGCTGTAAACATTCATGAAGACTCCTTCATGTTCATCACAGGTGTCACGTCATGTTTATGACGGATCTTTCTCGCTTCACTGAACAGTTCAGTAGCTCCCTGTAACTCCAGGTTCTCCACACCTGGACCGTTTCTGTGCACCAAGCTTCCTCTGCCTTTCAGAAACACTCAGTGATTTTTATCTGTGTAAATCGCTGTGTATTTCTGCCTGCTGGGTAATTTCCCTTCCACGAGCCTCCTGCTTAAAAAAAAGAAACATCTAGATCCGCCCCTGCACGGGTGATAAACTGGTAACATATTTAATCTATAATGAGGTAATTTTTTAAAAAAGATAAATGCAGTTTGGCGTCGTGTAGAGGAGGAAACGGAGCGGCTGTTGTCCCCGGAGGAGGAGGAGGAGGAGGTGGAGGAGGAAGGTGGGGTTTCAGTGTCGGGGCGGTGAAGCCGCACTAAATAACGCCTCGCCTCGAGTGGAAGTGTCACTGTGGCCTCCACCCGGCGTGACGAGACCCAAAAACTGTCTCACACCGCTGGCTCTGCGAGTCAAATGAGACTTTTTCACCTGCAGCGCCGAAGGTAAGCTCACCTGCAGTTGCGTCATGTTATTATTTTTTTAAATTATTTTTATTTTAAATCCCGTTAACTGTCCCGAGGACACCGGCGCGTCCTCGTGGACCCCTTTGGATAACATACAAGCGTTTCGGAGGTGACAGTTTTTAGTTGTTTTTGTCTTTTCGTTCGTCTACTTGTCGGACAAAGTGTCTGGAGGTTGGACGGATGCGGCTGCGTGGAGGCTGAGCAGTCCGGGTCCACGGAGCCATATCTGGGTCAGCCTCAGTGGAAACAGCGAGCTGCTTCACTCTCGCCACCACACCGAGAGTCATTTTCATTTACGGGAATCCTGGGGGGTGTTGGAAGACAAACCCACCGAAAACCGGCTATATTATCTCAGCTAACCCATATGCAGATTTGAAGAGAGCGCTCTCCGCTTCATTTCCCCGGTAGTTAACATCACGGAGCATTCAGACAGGTGGGAGGAAATAGAGCTTCAAACTCGTGTTTTCCAAAGCTATGGGTCGGGAACCCATAGCAGGCCACTAAACGCCAGTGTTGGGGTCTTGAAATTACCCAAAAAATCATTTGTTTCTACCGAAAGCTCTCACCAAACTTTTGTTTTCCACTTATCTAAAAACAGGCCATCAGTTGTTCTGACTCCTGTTGTCGTCATGGACTTTCTAATTATCATAATTGGGCTGCCGTGTCAGTTTGCAGGTTGGGAAACCAGTGCTTTAAGAAGCACCTTCAAGTGCAAAAGCAGTGCTGCAGAATTGTACTAGTTATACGTGAAAAGAAAAATGTGTTCGCGCTTTCAGAGCAAATTTTAGTAGCGGACATATCAGATAAACTGGGTAAATTTCCAAACCAACATAACCTTATGTGGAAAAGTAATTGTCACTCAAACCCAATAACTGGTTGTACAACTCTCGACAGCAACAACCGCCATAGAAAGTTAACGATAACAGGAAATGAATCCTTTTCATCTCTGGAGGAACGTTTGGCCCTCTGTTCTTTGCCGAATTGTTAGGATTTTGCTACATTGGAGAAACATTACAACCTATTTATGGTCACATTACACAGAGCCACGTTGGAGCCTTCATTTCTTTTTTTAGCCGTTCAGCGCGTGACATACTGGTGCATTTTGATTATTTTCCTGTTGTTTAACTCAACTGCTGCCACCACCATGTTTAATTGTTCGTATGATATCATTTTTCTAAAATGACGTTTTAGGAAAAACTCATAACGAGTGGCAAACGTTCCAAAATTTCCAATTTTTGTCTTTTTCACGAAGAATTGGAAATCTCTGGTGGATGCCAGTTTTTGCCTGGTTTTTTTCTTATTGTTACATCATGAACTCTGACTTTGGATGAGCTTGCAGTGCTGTAGATGTTGCATCTGGGTTCCTCACGGCCCCGTTGAGTTGTTGAAGGCCTCTTGAAATAATTTTGGTTCGCCAAAACCTCCGTTACGGTTTTGCAACGCTCGCATGACTGACAGACGCTGATAAATTAGTTTCTCGCCTGTTCTGGGACGCGTCTCTCGATTCCGCGGATCTGGCGGTAACCAGGTCGAGATGCGGTGAGTGAACCCCAACAGAGCATTGTGGGTAATCGCAGCCAATTCATCAATCAGGCAGTCAAATCAAATGTTATTTATTTATTTTATTTTTTTAGCACATTTCAGCAACAAGGCGTTTTAGGTCATAAAAACACAAAAGTGCAAAGTCATAGAGCAGACAGTCAACAATTGAAACTTTACAAATTGCCAGGTGCTTTCGTTATACATCATTACAAGAGTGTGACTACATTATAACACAAGGGAAATTTGCCTTTTAAAGAGCAAAATCATCATTTGAAGAGTTTGTTTTGATGATCTGAAACGTCCAAGTGGTGACAAAACACACAAAAAGAGAAATCTGTCAGCGGGTGAATATCTGTTTCATCTGTCAAATGGCTTGATTTCCCCCTGTGCAAAAGACAGACATCATTTCCTCACTCCCATGTGTTAGCTCCACTCACTTAGAGAAAAGTCCCCTGTGTGTCATGTCCCGGTGCGCATGCATGCAAACGCTTACTCACTCTAGTGTGGGCTGATAAAACAGAAAAGAAAAGCAAGACGCCTCAGATCTGTCTATACTGACCTTTGAGTCAGATATCTGTTTCTTTTTGTGTTTGTTTTACCCTTTGCAGAAGTTCAATCGCATCGTAAAGGAGGCTCACACACACACATGGATGTCAGATGGAATAAGCTCAACGATGCTGCCCACCTCGGTCTGCTCTCTGCCTGTTCCAAATAGGTGAGCTCGACGAAAACAACAACAAGAATCTGCCAGCTTTTTTCTGCTTTTATTAGGACGTTGTTTTTGGCAAGCTTCGGTAGATGCGTGTTTGAAAATTAAATGGATTAAATAAGTGGTTGCCTCTTCCCCTCTCCTTTGCAAACTGGACACTCATAGCAAACTTAATTATTTAGTTCTTGGTAATGTATGCACCTGTTTCTCTCTGTCCTACTCTTTGCTTGTTCTCTTGTTTTTGTTTTTAAAAAACCCTGTTTGAAATGAAATTTATTAATAACAAACAGAAAGGTGAACTCAATGAAAAACGCTTTCGCAGAAATGACTGTCGAACAAAATAGTTATAATGTGAGCAATTTAAACAGGAATCAAAAATATTTATCACCTTCTTATTCATTTATTTCTCCACTTCTTTGGTGCTGACTTGTTTAATCACTAATCATTGAAAAGGACAATTTTCCATATTTCTTCATTGTAGTAATGATGTAGTAGTTCTGTTTTCCTCAATATGAATGAATAGATTACATCATAATGCTTTTTAAGATGCTGATTAATGCCAGTGAAGAAGTCATTTATATGAAATTTTTTTTTTATTTAAAACAGAAAACTATACATGTGTAGCTTTGTAAAGATGTGAATGTATGTTTTTTTGTAAAATAGCTTGAGAAAGTCTTCGTATGGGTAAGATGACCCTAAGAACTAGCCTCAAAAATAAGGGACTGTCCTCATCGCTTATTGTGTTGAACAGTCTGATGATCAAATGCTTTTCGGGACATTTGGAAACCCGTTGCGATTTAAACCAGACGTTTCTGTTCAGCATCATGGCTCAGTTTCACTCGGTGATCTAGGACAGTTATTCTCACTCTTTCTGTGACAAGTTCCAGCTCATTAAAATACAAAAGTTTCCAGATAGCCACCATCTGAGACGTTTTGAAGGCGGTAATGCGACAGAAGTTGGACGTCCTGGAGGAGCTGCTTTTTAATAACAACACTACTGTCTGTGTCACTGTGTGGTATGGTTGAAGAATGCGATTTAATGATGCATCCAGATTTGTGTCTCAGGTTGGGTCGTCCATGTTTCAAACTCAAAAGGTGGACAGGAAGTCTCCAAAAGCTGAAGTGGTAAAGTCTGGTGTTTTTCAGTGACGCTGACGTCAAAAACCAACACGGCAGCCATGAGAGTAAAACGTAGGCTGTTACATAAACCGTTTATTTACCCTTCTGGTGGTGATTCATCATATTAAACACTTACACATACAATACATATCAGTTACTTAACTTCTTCTGTTAGTGTTTGAAATGCAATGCTACTCAGTTATTAGCCAGTAATGCTAGTAGCAGTTAGCATATCCCACTGGTTTCCTGGCAGACCGTTGTTAAGCTGGATCTGATGCTGGTTCCAGTGTGACATTTCCCTCAGTTTGATAATATCTTGTAAAAATAGTTGGGTTGCGTGATATTGGCAAAATTTGTGATTGTGATAAAACTGGTCAAAATAGCAATATAACCACGACAATGTTAGCATGAAAACAGCTGAAAAGTTAAAACTTTGACTATATTATCCAAGAATTTTCACACTCGTATGGCTATGACGATATATTGGCGACATGTTGTTCAACCCAAAAATAGTATCATTGTATTTACACTGACATATAAAACAAAACCAATAAAATAATTTAAATTTGTCGTTCTTAGAGCTGCAAAGTGATTTGATACAGATTTTTATAGTAATAATAATTATGCCCAACATTTATGGATAGCTGTTGTTTTGTTTTGCAGCTAACATTTACTGCATTTGTTTACGCTACAGTGTAACTGTGCTCATCTGTGGGCTTTTGTTTATAGTGATCAGAGTGAACAGTGGAGGAAAGATAAAAACAGCTGCACCATGAGTCGGGCTGTTTTCTTGGAAAACCAGTTCGCTGCTGAGCACGTCCTCCACGCCCTGCAGCTGTCTTAATAACCTACGTTCATTTCTACAGGTTACAGTGGCGTTCCTTTAGCTTTCAAAACCATGACGGTTTGTGCTCTGTGTAATGGGAAACACTTCCTGAAAATCTTTCAATGAGCAATAAGCGTAGAAGCTATCAGCCAGCTGACCAGCAGTGAGCTGCAGCAATAAAGGAGATATTTTCAGCCGGTGAAAATGCTGAATCTGTCTGACTCTTTCTCTGGCACCTCAGTAAGAAAGACTTTTAGCTTTCTAAAACAATGAGCAGTGATTTTGTTATCATTTTCTTTTTTCTGTAACTGCTTATTTGCTCCATATAAAGTTAATTAGCTTGTATATATTTAAAAACAACAATATTTGTCTCAGTTTTAAAGTGTAGCTTTAATGTAAACTTCAGCTAAATCTGCCATTTTGGCCAATCAGTGCAATTAATTTTAAGTGTGATTAACTGCTGGCAGTAATATGGTATTTTTCTATGAATTAAAAAAAAAGTTATTGCGAAAATAAATTTTCGTAATAAATTTCTGTATTTCCTACATTTCAGAAATGTAACAATGATTTGAAATGCGTCTCTTGAGTTATTTTGATTCCGTGTGTTCTCTACAGTGAGATGATGTTTTGTAGTCTAACAGTTTAATTTACGTACATTTTTGAAAGCATTTTTGTTTTACAGTGTATGTTTCTGTTTTCAGTTATGTCAGCCAGCTGAGCACCTGCCACAACACGCCCGAAGAGGACGATGAGACCATGAACACAGAGGAGAAAAAAGCCAGCACCGTCCACAAGGCGGACCCCGCGTCCGACCTCGACGCCCACCGCCGGCCCGCGGACCGCACGCCGTTCCCCGACGACTCCATGTTCAGCCCGCGGGGGTGGAACCGAGAGCAGGGCCTGTCGTTCCCCTCCTCCAGCTTCTGCTCCCACAGCCTCCCCGCCGGGTACAACCAGCCCACCCCGTTCCCCAGCCAGGTCAACATGCTCCACCCGAGCCTGGCCAGCAGCTGCACGGGTTACCCCAGCAGCCTGCCGTCCTGCCTGGGCCACAAGGATTACTCCAGCTGCTCCCAGGACAGCTGCCTGTCCAGAGACAAGTCCGCCTCCCTCCCCAGCCACCACAGCGGCCACATGAGCCTGGAGCAGCCGCTGTCGCTGCACTCCAACCCGCCTTCGGCCGAGCTCTACCACCACACCTTGTCTCCGTACTCGTGCCCGCCGCAGGGCCCCCCCTGCTGTGCTCAGTGTCCGGCGGACGCCTTCAGCAGGCGGCCCGTGGCCAACGACCACGCCTGGCCTCAGTACAACCCAGCTTACAGCTCGTACTGTAAGTCTGGTCCTCCGCTCTCTGACAGCCACGCTCAGTGTGCATTTGGCAGGTTTCCTTGATTCTGTCTTTTGTCTGTTAGACTCAGAAGACTGCAGGATCCCTGGAGCTGGATTCAGACACATGTGAGTTCAGTGCTGGCATCTAATTAAAAAGATTTCATCTGATTGATCTCTCTCATGCTGTGATTAATCGTGATAAATCACTATGCCTCGCTTTGAAATATAAATATGTACACAGTTGCAGCAATGTTGCCCCAGGCAAACTCCTCCTTCTGCTGGTTAAAATGGAAGCAATTATGTTTTGGTTTGTTTGCTAGTTTTTCTTGTAGAAGAAAGCAGGTAGTCTCTCAGTTATCAGCAACGCATGCATACAGAGAGTAGGAAACTTGTTCAGGGGACAACTGACACATCAGATATTTTATTTTCCGGTTCTTGGGTGTTGTACACCTTTCTGATGCTGCCCTGGGTTGCTGCCCCCATACCAAGGAAATACAAAGAATTAATTTGTATTTCTTTTTTAAACTTTTTTTAAAACATGCAACGTTTTATCGTCTCAAACCAAACACGTGAAGTTTCTCCATGCTCCAGGTTTTTATATTCAGGGAGTTTTAAAGGAAGTCGTTTCATTTTGAACGTCAATCTAGAAACGTCCGTCTCCGTGCATTTCCTGTGGAACATGTGCTTCAACTTCCACTGTCATTGGAAGTTGAAGCCCAAAACGTTCTGCTGGTTTTTAAACCAGTCTGCGTTACGCAATGTCGACGCAATGAAACGTTCAGACGCCTCGACGTCGACAGCCCCGCTCGAGTTTTAAAGCAGCCTCACTGTGTGTTTATTCTGACAAAGTTTGGCCCTGAAGTTCTTTGTGCTTCCATGCAGCGGCCACAACGTCCCGGTCAAAGAGAGACACCCCACGTACAGCACGCCGCTCTCTCTGGAGCAGAGTAAGTCTCGCAGGCTTCGCCTCCGTCTGCCGCAGGCGGCACCGCCTGAACTGTCCGTCTCTGACCTGTCCGTCTCTGAACTGTCCGTCTCTGATCTGTCCGTCTCTGACCTGTCCGTCTCTGAACTGTCCGTCTCTGAACTGTCCGTCTCTGATCTGTCCGTTTCTGACCTGTCCATCTCTGATCTGTCCGTCTCTGACCTGTCCGTCTCTGACCTGTCCGTCTCTGAACTGTCCGTCTCTGACCTGTCCGTCTCTGATCTGTCCGTCTCTGACCTGTCCGTCTCTGATCTGTCTGTCTCTGACCTGTCCGTCTCTGATCTGTCCGTCTCTGACCTGTCCGTCTCTGACCTGTCCGTCTCTGATCTGTCCGTCTCTGAACTGTCCGTCTCTGACCTGTCCGTCTCTGACCTGTCCGTCTCTGATCTGTCCGTCTCTGATCTGTCCGTCTCTGAACGCAGGGCGGGTCTTCGTCACGTACGAAGCCGACAACGACAAACACGTCAACGAGATCATCAAGTTCGTGGCTCTGCTGCGACACAACGGCTTCGACACTCACGTATGTGGCAACCGTCTTTTTTTTTCTTCCTTTTTTTGTGCTGCTGTGCTTCAGACTATTTGACATTCCTGGTAAAAAACAAAGCAGCACCTCTTCACTCCAGTCCCTGACAGACAAGTCCAAAGATCCCAATTCAACATTTTCTATAATAGCGCATGTTATTGCTCTGTCAGCATGTGTGAACTGGTTCTTAATGAGGGAACGTCAGATGTGAATGCATCATAGAAAAATCAGAGCTTCAACATGAGTCTATGGCGCAGAGCCTGACACGCCTTTACTACAACATTTAAGACCAGAGAACAGGTGTGGGTCGTCCTGACGACCTATGCCAACACGCTCCCTTCATTTCTACCGTTTCAGAAGTTATGCTTCACTCAAAAGCATAACTTCTGAGTGAAGCATAACTTCTGAAGCCTTATGAAGCATAAGGCTGTGCATTACTGAATTTACTCTTGGTAGTTTCTCTAACCAAATGAGGAACATGTGTTGTTTTGTTTTGTTTTTCTTCCCAGGTCCAGCCACCTGATTACCATGAAGTATCAGGAAAAATAGTTATGAAAACAAAGTTGACTTACTAATTAGAGTGGCTGATGGTTTCTATAAACGATGAAGGGGAAACGATACAAAAATGAGTAAATATTAAAATAATAATTCCCTCCTTGATTTGAAGCTTAAAACACAACTTGGTGTTTTAACTGTGTTCCACCATTGGTTCTTTTTGTTGTGCTGAAACTCTTAACATAAAATATAAATAATAGGAAGATCAATACTATGCTTGGCGCCTCAGCTGGACGCAGCCGGAGACTTTGGGTCCAAAAGTTGGACCAAATAAAGCGAAATGACCCTTTTTTGAATCTTTTAATGAATGTTTGTCATCAGCTCTAAAAACCTCCATGATGGGGGTTCCTTTAATGAGTTAAGAGCTTAACACACAAACATCTTTGTTCTAGATCGACATTTTTGAGCAGCAGTACAGAAGCATAAGCAAGATCGACTTCATGGAGCGCTACCTCAGCGAGGTGAGAGCAGATCAACACCTTTAATTGTTGCATCATCCGGAGCAAGAGGAAACTTGTCTCTGGAAGCCGTCCTCCGGCGGCTTTTGATGAATGACGATGTTTATCTGCTCTCCCAGAAAGAGTACCTGATCATCATCATCATCAGTCCCAAGTACTACGAGACGGTGACCACGTCTCCGTTCGACCTGGAGAACGACGAGAGGACCTTCAACACCGTTTACATCCACAAACAGGTCAGAGTCGCCTCCGCTCTCAGCTCGTCTTTAAAACGCAGCCCAGACTCACCGGTGTGTGTGTGTGTGTGTGTGTGTGTGTGTGTTTGTCACTCAGCTTCAGAATGAGTTCATCCAGAACGGAAGCAAGAACTTCAGGTTCATTCCCATTTTGTTTCCCGGGGCTAAAAAGGTAAGCGCCGTGGTCGTTGTCACGCCACAACAGCGTTGAGAGGAGAAAATAAAAAAACTAAACTTGGTGGCGTCTCGATTTGCGTTTTTTTGCAGTGTCACGTTCCCAACTGGCTCCAGAACACTCACGTCTACGGCTGGCCGCGCGATCGAGACGACATCCTCCGACGCCTGATGAGGGTGGAGAAGTACAACCCGCCGCCCATCGGGGAACTGCCGACCATCGTTTCCATCCCCATCTAGAGCGCTGACCTGAGGACAGCGCCCTCTGTCCCCCGAGACAAGCGGAGACACGTCCCCCACCCCTGCCTGTCCTCCTTTAATCTGCGATTGTAAATACTCTCAGGTGCTTTTGTAGATTCTTCTCAACTTTTTCTTTTTTTATTTACAAAGAGAAAAGTGTCGGCGTCGACACGAGACGTGGATCGGAGAGGTTTTTTGGTATTTTTTGGTTTGTTCAGCTTTTGTTTTTTAAAAACAGTTGAAAAATCATGCATTTTTATAAGCAAGTCACATTTGCAACTTAAAGAAACTAAAAACTATACAGTGATGTCTGGTACAGAGACAGACAAAATCGCTGCAGTTTTTCAGTTTGTGGAAAGGCCAGGGGATTTTTTTTCTTTGAGATGACAGAAAAATTGCTGGATGTTTCTCTCTGTAAACACTTCTACTTCCTGCGCTGCCTATCAGCTGGCTGAAAGATACACTTTCCTCCTGCTTACAAGGAGAAATTTGTTGCAGAAAAAAAAAAACGAAAAAAAAAAAAAAACCCAAGCACACATTGCCCGACTTATGGAATGTCAGAACCTACAGAGCTTTGAAACATCAGGAATCGGTGTCCTTTTTTTTAAAAAAAAGGAATTTTCCAGTTCAAGAAGTTCGAATAAAAAAACCCCCAAAAGATCCACTGTAAAAGATGTTTTTTTTTGCAGCAGGGATCATTTTTGTTTCACATCAAAGTTAAATCATGTAACCGATTCTCTGCATTTCCACTTCAAGTGACTCTAGGATCTCATATCAGCAGCTGGTACGTCACTTCAGACGCCTCCTGTTTCCAGAATTATTTTTCAAAAATTATATTTTATTTTACTTTTAAACCATTGCTTTAGACTGTACTGTTTACATTGTTTTGATTTTAGCCTTAAATTAAATTAAGATGCTGAAAAGCTAACCTCGCTGTACATTTGTCTCTCTGGGAGCCACGGCGGTCAAAGTCACCTCATCACCAGAACTCAGACAAGCAGAGGCCTGGATTTTATTCATTTTTTCGCCTGCAGGGGTGTGTGTGTTTTTTTTTTTCTTCCTTCAAGTGGAACAGGCTTATTGTCGTAAATGGCAGAAGGAATGCAGCAGAAATCCAGTCTCGCAGCTTCTCCCCTCCTTCTCTCGTAGAAAAACGCCTCGACAGGAAGTCGTGAGGCGATAAGCAGCTGACGCAGCTGTGCGGTACAACTTCTCAAGAATCGGCAGAAATGCACTCAAAACGGGGTCATCAACACCCGTGTGTGGTTTGAGACGAATCTGCATGTAACCTGTGACACATTTGAAGCAAAAAAAGTAAATCAAAACGTTTGCGTCGGCAGAATAGGCGTTTATCCCAGGTTTACGGCGACCAAATAAAAACTGCTGCACCTGAAATGCACGACTGCAGGTGTTCACGTGCAGATTAACGAATGTTTTTCACTGAAAATGTTCATATAGCTAATTAAAAAAAACACTCAAAAAAGAAAGTAGATATTTTACAAAGGACAAAATAATGAAGTATAAGTTGGTTACAGTCATTTTATTATGCAAATATCTCAAGATTTAAGTAACAAACAAATATCAGACAATACTTTAATTTTAATAGTTGAAAAAAAAAAACAATGAAGTGCTATTTGTTCAAAAGCTACAAAATACATATAAGCAGGGAGCGTTTTATTTCCTTCAAGGAAAAAAAACAAAAAGTACTATAAGTTACAGTACAGTGAATTTGTCCAAACTGACTTTTGTTCCCGTCTTCCAGCCTTTTGTAAGCACAAACCCAAGTAGGATCAGACAGAAACAAGGTCTGAAAATCGTCGTCCCCCCGTGGAAAAAAAAAAAAAAACAAAGAAAAAGAAAAAAAAAAGGAATTCTACAACCCTGTCATCAAGAACTGGGTGATGTTTGTAAAAAAAAAAATAGAAAAAGGAAAAGGCACACAAAGGCTTCTGAAAATGTACATTCAGGTCTTCATCTTCTGCAGGTCACATGTCTGGTATAATTAACAGGAACAGTTCTGTACTTCATGAGCCCAAGGGGAAAAAAAAACAAAAAAGGACATATACTTCATCTTTCGTCACAAAATAGAGGCGAGCCCTCATACATCGTCAGCTGGCAAAGGAGGTATGTTGAACCTTGGTCTGGTGAAAAAAGCCATCTTCTCTCTGCAGAAAAAAAGGGAAAAAAAAAGCAAATTAATGCAAAACCTGTTACTGAAAAGTGTGGCATGAATTTATACTTAATCCCCTTTATGTCCTTCTTTTCTACCTTTATCCAAATAATTCAAGTGAGCTTGTAGCATTCAGCGAGCCCATTTTCTGCCGCCATGTTGCAAACATTGATGCTGCTGTGACAATTTATCAGATGTGGTAGATTTGAGAGACGGCAGCAATCAGAGAAACGGCCGAGAGGTTCGAGGCAACTCTGGAGGAGCTGCAGAGATGAAACGCTCAGGCAACTACCAACTATTCTGGCTTTCTCGGATACGTGACGAGATGAAAAATAAAAGCCGCTTCTCGTCTTTCCATAAAACTTTTGAGAAATGTGTCGGCTTCATGTTTGGTTCTGTGATGACAGCTAATGGTCGTCCCGTTTTCTGAGGGTGAGAATTATTGACTTTCTACAAGAAATTATTCACTTGATCTGTCATCACACCCCAGCATCATGATTTTTTTTTTTTTTTTAGATTGCTGCATGTCTTTGGCAGACTGTCAGTCAAACCTGTCTTTTGGAATAGAAGTTGCCCAATAATAATGTCACCTTCATATAAAGTCCATCTCTTCAGGTCATGATCCCGAGGTAAAATTACATCTGACGACTAAAACCTATTAGCTATCAAGTTTGCAGCAGTTTAGAGCAGAGAAACATTTACGATTTGGCTAAAATGCTCATTTTGCTACTAATCTGGCACAGTGTGTACCAGGTGAAGCTAATTTAAGGTGATGAATTTTTGCTTTTTATGAGCAGCAGCTGAAGCCAAGCAGTACTTCTAGAGGTAGGCATCCGTTTTCTTGCAGCGACATGCCCGAAAATATTTCTCATATCCCAACAATTTACGGCAGGATTGGTGCAACACCGTTGCTTTAGCGCCAAAAATTGCAGCTGCTTGCAAGCAGACGAAGCCATTTTTGCAAAAACATTTTATGAAAAAAAAAAGAAATGCATCAAAATTTATGTGAAGTTAAGAGATGTGGATTCGTTTTCAAACCTGAATGTCTGCACCGGCAGGGGTTCCTTCTGGTTCTGCCCTCTCATCTGCAGAACCTCTTTGGAAGCCTTCCTCAGCCTCCTCTCCGCTGCCTCCTCGTGACGCTGCTCCTGCTTGCTCTGGTTGGCCTGCAGGGGGCGACACCACAGTCATCTTGCTGCTGCGGGGCAAGTCATGCGCCCGAATGAAACTTTTCTGTGACAGACCCCGCGGAGGTGCGAAGCAGTCCGTATAAGTATTCTGTCTTTCTCAAAATAAAATCTCTTCCACGATGCTGGTGTGAAGTACTCAGCAGTTATGAAAATGCACATGCGCAGAACGCCGTTTATGCAAGAATGCGTGGAGATGTGGTTTCCTACTTAACCGATTCAGTGAAGCACACTTCCTGATAAGGAAATAAATGTTACATGACACTTTGTTCATGGGAGACGGCTTTCTGTTTACAATGAGATGTAAGCTAAAGCTAACAGCAAATGAGGTTAAACACGCCAAAACCACAGCGCCGTCTTGTGGCCATGGAATTGCAACTACAGCTGATTCAAGGCATCACAGCGGTGCCGTCTAAACCTGGAACCTTTCCCCTTCTCAATGACCAAAAACAGGCGTCAGTTTTCAGGCGGCGGCCTCGTCTAAACGTCGTCATATCCGGTGTTACCTGTCTCTGGGCCTCCCTGAGCAGGCAGCGGAAGCGCTCGTCTCTCAGCGCCCAGTTGGGTAGCTCCTTGACGTCGCTGCCCTGCGGCGGCTCCTCCAGCCGCAGCTTGAGTTCCCTCAGGGCGCTCAGCTCCTCCATCAGCTGCCGCAGCCGTGTCCTGCAGGCCTGGAGGTCCAGCTCCAGGTCCAGGGAGGTCCGCGTTGGCTGCTCAGGCAACGAGGAACGGTACGACTGCTGCTGTTGGCACAAAAAAAAACCAAAAAACCCATCTTGAACCACACAGTGAACACAGATACTGGAAGGATTTAATGTGACAGACCAATAAAAACCTGCTTACGATTTTCTCTTTATAGTAAATTAAATAAACATCCATCAAGCTTCCCCCAAGGTCTTAAACTATTAAATCAGCTTGATTACGTTTAATTGTTTATTGAAACAATCTACTAATTGAGTAACTGATTAATCCTTAAGAGTAAAAAAAAAATAAAAATCAGATAGCTGAAACACAGCAGGAAGTCAAGTGTACAAATACATTTTGCATACAAGATGGTAAGAACTTTATAAACATGTTCTAAATACACCAAGTGTTATTTTGGATTTTTTTCCTTTTCTTTAGAAGAAAAAAAAATGGATTTGAGTTCTGCATCTTGTAAAATAATTTTAATATTATAAGTGACACTTGCATGGCGAAAATTGGCAGAAAGTACCAAATATTTTAATCCAAATAATCTGTTAATCATCAGAATAATTGAGTGATTAACTTATAAGATAATCTTTAGTTGCAGCCGTACTTTACACATGTGTTCATTACATATTAATTAGTGCAGGGTCATTTTTATTGTCCACAGTAACTTTTCTACCCAACTCTTTGTACATTTTACTAGACCACTGAATGTTTCGTTTCTTGAGGAATTAAAAATAAAACATTTTACAGGTAAATTAATTAGCTGCTGGCAATATAAAATTAGTGCGAACATTTTTGGTGAGTGAGAAACATCCAAGTGTGATTTTGGCTCGCGGGGGAAAAGACGACGCGCCAGAAAGTTATCAAAGCTCTGCATCACTTCAGAGTCTCAGAACTGCTAATGTTTAGTTTTTTTATTTATGATTCTCTAGCATTTAGCTCCACATTTCCTTCCATGAACTCTGACGTCGTCCTGCTGAAGCATGTAACCGTCACCAAGGATTTAAAACTTTTTTTGTTAATAAAAATGAATAAATCCACCCGACGACACACTAACGCTTGTAAGGTGACGGTACCTGCTTGTATCGGAGCGTTCTTCTCTCCATGGTGTTTCTGACGAAAGGCAACTTCTTTGGTAAAGTGGAGCTGTCACTGTCACTGCGATACAACTGAAGAAAATAATGAAATGAAAATCAACGTTCAGAACCAGAAAATAGTTCACACACAGCTGTTGATCTGACGGGTTGCTGCACTCACCCTGCAGACGTAGTGACTCCTGGGAGCGCCAGGCGAGAAGGTCTGGGAGCGAACGATGGCGCCGCCCCGCATGAAATGGGACCCGTGACCCCAGCGACCCACCCTCTCTTTGGGCCGGACCCAAACCGGCTCCGGGAACTGAGACTCCGTCATGGTGGCCTTCTCGACCTGGAAACACGCCGGGAGTTGCTGGATTCTCGTTTCCATGGAGGAAAAGATGCCAAGAAAACAAAACACAGCTGCAGCTTTTACCCTTGGTGAAAAGAGTCTGCTGGGAGGCTGATCACTGCGCCCCCCGGTGGCGAGGCAGGCGCCCTCGGCAAACAAACCCTCTGAGTAAGGAGTTGGCCCCGCTGCGCTGGTGCTGCAGCCGCTGTCCACAGACTCTGCCTGCTGACCCCTGGAAAACAAAGACCCCGAAATCCCAGGTTAAAGCCTGGACACATTTCTTTCTGACGGAAAGAAGCATTTTCTCAAGGAGACTTCAAGCAGTTCAAATTTAAAGACTCGATTAAAATTCAACATTTTTGCCCATCATGATTATCAATTTTACCAGATCATAAATTGTCCCAGAAGTTATTAGGATAAAGTTTGTTTACATAATATCGTGGTAAAGGGATAATA